AGGACCAATGGGGAAAGAAGATACTTTCAAATCTGGGATGCGGGGGGGGGGGGGAGGTTTTGTTTGTGCTCTTGGTTTTGTTCTCTCTCGGGACAAAGAGAGAGACCAAGCGCGTAACCCAGCTCCTACTGAAATGTTACATCTAAAACTACAGAAATTGTAAGTAATACCAAGGAAATGAGTTAGATTATCTTTTGTTTTAGCTTGTGAATTTTCCCTGTTCTAAGAGGGAGATTTATTCCTGTTCTTGTAACTTTGAAGTTGAGCCTAGAGGAGAATCCTCTGTGTTTTAAATCTTTTTTATTACCCTGTAAAATTACTTTCCATCCTGATTTTTCAGAGGTGCTTCTTTTACTTTTTTCTTTATAATAGAGGGACCTGATTGATTTTAGTGTCCTAAGCATAAAGGGTCTGGTCTGTACTTTTATTAAAGGCAATTGGTTTGTATGTTATTCTCAAGCCTCCCCAGGAAAGGAGGTGAAGGAGAGTGGGGGAGGAGGATTTTGGGGAAATAGGAACTCCAAGTGGTCCTTTTCCTGAAACTTTGTGTAAATCACTTGGTGGTGGCAGCAATACTGTCCAAGGACAAGGGAAGTAATTTGTACCTTGGGGAAGTGTGACGAAGCGGAACTGTTCTTAATGTTTCCTCTGAATATTCTGGGGGTACCTCAGTTTCCCTTATGCAGTTCTTAAGTATCTAGGGGGTGGGATAAGGGTCTATGACCATTGCAGAGCCCTAGAGGGCAGGTGTGTGCAGGGGTCTGGACACAGAGAATGGCTGACACCCTGTTTCCTGGCAACTGATGGCCTGGGCCCTTCACCCCTGCAAGGTAAGAGCTAAAGGGTTGGAGAAAGGAATCAGGTGACCTCCTGGCCCAGGAAAGGGACAAAGCCCAGAGGAGGAGGGGCTGGAGTGGGAGTCAGTTTGGGGCTGGCTGGGGATGTGGAGTGAAGTGCAGACATGGTTGTCTGGCTCACTGCCCCACAAAATGGAGCCAGCTGAGGGGTCCTGTTCTCTGCACCTACAAGCTCCATTTTAGACCATGTTCCTGTCATCTAATAAACCTTCTGTTTTACTGGCTGGCAGAGAGTCACATCTCACTGTGGAGTTGGGGGGCAGGACCCTCTGGCTTCCCCAGGACCCCACCTGTGCGGACTCGCTGTGGGAAGCGCACGGAGGAGGCTGAATGCTCCGAGGTCAGACCCAGGAAGGTGGAAGCCAGGTGAGCTGTGTGTCCTGAAGACAGGATGCTCCTAGAGAGGAGACTTCCCCAGAGTCCTGACTGGCTTCATAGGGAGCAGTTCCTGAGCACCGCCCGGGGACTCTGTGACAGGAAGTTTTTAACATAAGCTGGTAGCATATAAGCTTCGGGGGTCTTTCATGCGAGTCCCCTAATCTGTATCCCAGAGTTCAGAGTGGGGAGGGAACCCTGACAACTGTCAGTACTATCCAACAGGGTGAGACACTGTTTGGTTCAAATCTTATTTAGTATATGAGATTTAGACTGTGATTTCCTTTATTTTTTAGGTAACCATATTTGATTGGTTTGTTATTACTTATAGTCACTTAAAATTTATCTTTCTGTAGTCAATAAATATGTGTTCTATTTTTTAATTAAAACAGTGTGATTTGCTTGAAGTATGAGTAAAACCTCAGCTCATTTAATGGAAGCTTGTGCATCACCCTTTTCACATCAAGGGAGGGGTGGACTGGATAATAAATTCACACTGGTCAGGCTTTTGACCAGGACAGAATGGTACAGCTCTGGTGTCCTAGGCTGGAAACCTGGGGGTATTTTGGCTGTAGCTTTCCGATGGTGGGTTCATGAGTGGTTGGTCAGAGATTCATGAACGCAGCTGGGTGTGGTCCCTGCCTGTGGATGTTGGTGTGAGTGCAACCTTGGAGGGATTTTCAGCTTGCCACAACCTCACAGTGCAAGAGGGACCCTGGATTGGTGAGACAGAGATCTAAACTGTACCCCAGTTCCACGTGGCACCCAAGGGGGGAGAACTCATCACAGTGGGTATCTCTTGTGCTGTCTAAAATAGAGGAATTGTTTTAGCCACCCCTTTTGCAAGGCCGGGGTGTGTTTGCTATAACAATCATGTGCAATATGGGAGGGCTGAGGAATGCTGAGGCATTCTGGGCTCCCCTTTTCAATGCTCCTGGTCTCCAGCAGCTGCTCTGTATCAAGGGGCAGTACAAGATCAGGAGTGAGGATTTTGAAAGCTGACCCAGCATCCCTCCCCATCAGTGCTGGGTCAGTTTTGGCAACTTTCTTCCTGCGGACACATTACTAGAGTGAAAGAGCAGCAAATTGTGAATTGGGCCTACCGAGAAATGTCACTACATGGCCAGCAATCACATGGACTACAAAAGCTTCTGTAGCACAGCAAGACTGCCACTGTGTGAATATACAGTTAGACCACCGTAAACACCTTCCCAGGCCCCTGTGTGGGGAAGAGTGTTTAGAGACACCAACACATGGCCAGCCTCTGTGAGGGGTTTGGGGCTGAGAGAGGCAGACACACATGTGACGGGTTTGGTCACAGACACCCCCTTAGGACTGTCACCTAATGTGCTGAAATTACCACTGAGCCCATTTTCCCTGCCAGCCTGGGCCTCCAGAACCCTGTCTTGTTGAGCCAAACACACTAGCATGCTACAATGCAGACCCAGGGCCTGGGCCACACCCCCAAAGCTGCAGACCTAAACTGAAAACAGCTCAGCAAGGTACCTACCTCCAGCACTCAGAAACCCAGACCCAAGGGGGTCTAAACCCCAGAAAAATCTGCCTTACTTTGTATAAAGCTTATATAGGGTAAACTCATAAGTGTTCGCCCTCTTTATCACTGAAAGAGATACATGCACAAATTGTTTGCCCCCACAGGTAACAATTACACTGGGTTTATTAATAAACAAACATGATTTTATTAAGTATAAAATGAGGATTTAAGTGGATTTAAGTAATAACAGACAGAACAAAGTAAGTCATTAAGAAAAAATAAAGACAATATGCAAGGCTAAGCTTAATACACTAAGAAACTGGTTATATTTAATAGCTCACCCTCAGAGATGTTCCATTAAGATTCTTTCACAGACTAGACTCCTTCCTAGTCTGGGCCCAATCCTTCCTCCTGGTTTAGTCTTTGTTAATTCCAGGAGACATCTTAGGTGGTAAACAGGGAATTTCTTCATGACTGGCCACCTCCATTGTCCTGCATTGTCCTTATATAGATTTGGCAAATGGCAGAAGTTCTTTGTCTCAGTTTGACCCCCTCCCCAGCTTCTCATGGAAAAGTACAAGGTTTAAGATAGATTCCAGTATCAGGTGACATGTCCCTGAAGACCCCAGTCTCCATTCTTTATGTGCTGGACCACACTTTATTGTCTGCTAATGGGCAATTACGCCATGTCTGGCTTCCCCATTGAAGACCCTGAAGTGTAAGCAGAGGGAGTGACCCAAAGTCTTGAACATAAAATACAAATACACAAGATAATATCCCAAACTTCCTCTACAAAAATGATACATGCATGCAAATAGAATAATCATATCCAGCAAATGACAACCTTTCTAACGACACATTACTTGAAGCATATTCCAGTTATGTCATATTCATATTCATGAGTATATTTTCATAACACATATGGAGCGCAGCGTCATAACATACTTGGTCAGCAATTAAATGCCAGACACATTAACAGTGCCAGATGCAGACTGAGGAGCTGGGCCAGAGGCACCAGCAGGCACCTGGCTCCTAGCAGGGAGGTGGGGCTGAGAGGTGAACACACAGCAAACCTCCTTAGGAGAGGATGGTGGAGAGGAGAGGAGACGGGCATGGTCCCCTCACTAGTAGTAGATCCTGTAATGCAATGCTAAACTGTACTACACTGTTGAGCCACTCAGTGTCCTTCAGGAAATCCTCTTGTTGCCAGCCCTATTGTCCTCTGCCCCCAGTCCATAGAGACACCCCCCTCCCCACATTCCTTTACAACTTCCAGTCATTAGGTCTCTGCCAAGTCCCAGTCATAGTTGTCTTCCCAAAGCTCTTTGCTGTAGAGAGAACCCCTCCTACCCCTTCGCAGGCCTCTCCTACTATCCCCAGGCAGAGGGTCAGAAGGGGTAGTCAGAGAGGTTCCTTCTGGAATGGGAACCTGTGAAAGATTATGAGAGGGGAGAGAGGCAGCCAGCTGGGTGTGAGAGCATGTGTGGCGGGGGAGAGTGGCAGTCGGCTAGGTGTGAGAGGGCACGTGGTGGGGGGGAGAGTGGCAACTGCCTGCTAGTGAGAGCGTGCATGGTGGGTGCGGGGAGATGCAGCCAGATGAGCATGAATTTGCCATGTGGTAAATCAGGTGCCTGGCCTTGTGGTCAAGGCTCTGGACCAGGGCCCAGATCTGGGTTCACTGGCTCAGGCCGGAGTCCAGTCTAGTACAATCTCCTCTGTCTGACAGTGACCAGACCAGGTGCAAGACCCTCACAAAAGGGGTTAATCTTTTCCCAGGAGACATTTACCCCTCACCCCCAATCAGAGAGGTTGGCTGGTGCACTGAAGCAATTGCTGGCTTTGTCTTAGACTCCCTGTGTCATCTTGGGCAAGTACTTGGGCTGCCAGGGACACATCCCTCACCCGTGATGTGGGGTGACCACAACCCCGCCTTGCCCACAATTAGTCCATCTTGTCTGTCAAGATTGAATCTCAGGGGGTGGGGACAGTTTCTAGCTGTATGTCGTACAGCACCGTGCACAATGAGGCTCTGATCTTGCTGGGTCGGGTGGAAATGACTAATGAGTAAGATGTTCTAGAGCAGTAAAAAATGAAAACTGTGTTGTTCTGCAGACCCAGACAAGCGTGTTTATTAGCCCCGCTGCTCAGCAAGGCTAAGGTGAGTTTCCATATGGGGGGTGGGGGGGCTAGGCCATCTGGATCCCCGGCCTTACTGGACCTCATGTCACCTGCATGGACCTTGCTCCCCAGACACTGACCCATCCCGTGAGCCTTCAGGCTGGTTTGACGCCCAAGATGAGGAGCGCCCTCTGCCGGATCCCCGGGGTTCTCACCCCATAGATGATGGGGTTCATCATGGGAGGAAAGAGCAGGTAAATGTTGGCGATGAGGATGTGAATGTGGGGAACCATGTGGCCGAAGCGGTGGGAGAGGTAGGTGAAGATCGCAGGGGTGTAAAACACCAGCATGACGCAGACGTGGGAGCTGCAGGTGCTAAGCGACTTGTGTCGCGCCTCCTTGGAGGGGAGTCTGAAGACAGCCCGGAGGATCAGGATGTAGGACAGGACAATGAGGATAAAATCTAACCCCCCGGCGAGAAACACTACTGCCAGACTGTAGGAACTCATGACTGTCGTGTCCTCACAGGCCAGTTTCACGAGTGCCATGAACTCACAATAGGTGTGAGAAATGACATTGGTCCTGCAGTACGGGAGCTGCTTCAGCAGGAATGGGTGTGGGCCCAGTAACACGGCCCCCCTCATCACAATGACCAGCCCTATCTTGGCTACGACCTGATTGGTGAGGATGATTGAGTGTCGCAGCGGGTTACAGATAGCGACGTAGCGATCAAAGGCCATGGCCAACATAAACCCGGACTCCATGGTAGTTACGGAGTGAATCAAAAAAATCTGGGCCAGGCAAGCGTTGATGTGAATGGCCCGGTCACTGAACCAGAAGATGCAGAGGGTTTTGGGTAGGGCGGTGGTGGAGATGACCAGGTCGGCGAGCGCCAGCATGGAAAGGAAAAGGTACATGGGCTCGTGGAGGCTGGGCTCGGTCTTGATAACAGCCAGGAGGAGGCCATTCCCCAGGAGGGACAGAAGGTAGACGGAGCAGAAGGGGATGGAGATCCAGACGTGCACCGCCTCCAGCCCCGGGATGCCGAGGAGGATGAAGGTGGAGGGGTGGGGCATGGTCCAGTTGGAAGCTGCCATGGTGCGGCCGGTTGGGTATGTTCAATTCCACGGCACGGCTACTTCCTGCCCCTGTAACTAACCATTAAAACAGTCAGTAACCGTCTGATGGGACCATGACAAGGTGTTTTTTTCTCAGCATTAGTTCTTCACGAGTCCTGTGCTAATGGCACAAAAAGAGTGAGGGACGAATAGCCTATTCTTGGCTCCTGCACTGCAGCCATTCCACTCTCATTACAGAGACAATAAGCGGTAAGTGAGGGCTCTGTAGCAGTTCAAATCAATGTTTTTTTTTCTCTACACTCCTCTCATTAGATGCACTATGAACTGTCCATGAAAATTCTGTCTGAAAATAGACATATCAAGCTCAGTCCTGAGCTGTCAGAAATGGGCAGAGAGCCATTACAGTTATACCCATTTACACCACCTGGAGATCTGTCCCATTGCAGCCAGCTGAAAGAGAGACCTGATTTGAACCGTTGTCACTGATTGTGCACTGCCTCCTGAATACCTGCAGCAGGGGAGTGGAGGGAAAGTGATGTGAGGATTACTGTTCATGGGGGTAATTGGATTTGGATGTCTCAGCCCTGATTCTTGACGGATAACAGTGGCTAATTAGTCCCTTTGAGGGAATCTCAGGCGAGAGGATGGGGTGGAGTGTGCGAGGATGCTAAGCAGCCCTGACTATCCTTAGAGGCAGCTTCTATTGGTTAGAGATAAGGCCTATTGGAATGGTGTCAGGGATTGTAGATTGGTCCCATGAAGCTTTCTACAGGGCTGTCAAGCCAGCATGAATTAGAATCATAGAATATCAGGGTTGGAAAGGACCTCAGGAGGTCATCTCGTCCAACCCCCTGCTCAAAGCAGGACCAATCCCCCACTACATCATCCCAGCCAGGGCTTTGTCAATCCTGACCTTATAAACCTCGAAGGACGGAGATTTTAAAACCTCCCTAGGTAACCAATTCCTGTGCTTCACCACCCTCCTAGTGAAATAGTACAGGAGGACTTGTGGCACCTTAGAGACTAACACATTTATTAGAGCATAAGCTTTCATGGGCTGCAGCTCACTTCATCGGATGCATAGAATGGAACATACAGTAAGAAGATATATATATATATATACAGAGAAGGTGGAAGTTGCCATAAGAGGCTAATAAATTAAGATGAGCTATTATCAGCAGGAGAAAATAACTTTTGTAGTGATAATCAAGATGGCCCATTTAGACAGTTGACAAGAAGGTGTGAGATTTAAGGGTGGCAATTTTGCAACAGAAAAGCCTCAAAAACAGACTCCAATGAGAAACTGCTGAGCTTGAATTAATATGCAAACTAGATACTATTAACCTGGGTTTGAATAGAGACTGGGGAGTGGCTGGGTCATTACACATATTAAATCTATTTCCCCATGTTAACAGGTTTCAGAGTAACAGCCGTGTTAGTCTGTATTCGCAAAAAGAAAAGCAGTACTTGTGGCACCTTAGAGACTAACCAATTTATTTGAGCATGAGCTTTCGTGAGCAGCTCACGAAAGCTCATGCTCAGATAAATTGGTTAGTCTCTAAGGTGCCACAAGTACTCCTTTTCTTTTTCCCCATGTTAAGTATCCTCATGCCTTCTTGTCAACTGTCTAAATGGGCCATCTTGATTATCACAACAAAAGTTTTTTCCTCCTGCTGATAATAGCTCATCTTAACTAATTAGCCTCTCACAGTTTGTATGGCAACTTCCACCTTCTCTGTATGTATATATCTATCTTTTTACTATATGTTCCATTCTATGCATCCGATGAAGTGGGCTGTAGCACATGAAATCTTATGCTTTAATAAATGTGTTAGTATCTAAGGTGCCACAAGTACTCCTGTTCTTTTTACAGATACAGACTAACACGGCTGCTACTCTGAAACTAGTGAAATAGTGTTTCCTAATATCCAACCTAGACCTTCCCCACTGCATCTTGAGACCATTGCTGCTTGTTCTGTCATCTGCTATCACTGAGAACAGCCGAGCTCCATCCTCTTTGGAACCCCCCTTCAGGTCGTTGAAGGCTGCTGTCAAATCTCCCCTCACTCTTTTTTCTGCAGACTACTAAATAAGCCCAGTTCCCTCAGCTCAGCCACTCCTCATAAGTCATGTGTTGAAGTCCCCTCATCATTTTTTGTTTCCCTCAACTGGATTCTCTGCAGTTTGTCCATTGCTCATTTGAGCAATAAATTCACATGAGAAGAGCAAAACCTTCGGCTCGACTGATTCTGTTGTGTCTAACGTCTGTTTTTGCAGCATTCACAGTTAGAGCAAAGCTGCCCTGCTGGGGTGCTGGAAGACTCAGGGCTGAGCCCTTCATGTTCCTGGGAGAGATGTGGACATTCTCACAGCCCTGCCTTTTGGAGGAAGGATGCAGGAGGTTCATACCAGTGGTCTGACTTGGGAGCCCTCTTGTTAGGAGCCTTATTCCTTCACCCGCTTACTTCCCTGGTCCTTCTCGAATGAACAGAGAGCAACAATACCCGAAGTCCAAAGGTGCAAACAATTCGATGTTTATTGGGGTGAACTTCCAGCAAGCATGATTCCAGTTTCCTTCCTTAGTGTCCCCCTTCCCAGCTCTGACACCACAGAGCCTTACACCTGTGTCCCTGTTCCCATTTCCCCCACTTAGCAAAACATGATTCCAATTTCCCCACCCCCATTCCCTGTTCCCATTTCCCCCCCACTTCCTGATTGACTGCAGACTATATAGTAAAACTTGACTTCTGCTTAGCTATACCTTAACCAATCATTTTCCTGAAATTTAACTAACCAATGCTAACATATTATAACATGATTACGTAACAAATTATATCCCACCACCTTAATTAGTTTACACCCAGCAAAATTAATTATACAGCAGACAGGAACAATCACAGAACCAGACAGAGATTATACAGACAAACAATAGGGAAGTGGGGACTACAATGATAGAACAACACAGAAATGCATCCAATGAAGTGAGCTGTAGCTCACGAAAGCTGATGCTCAAATAAATTTGTTAGTCTCTAAGGTGCCACAAGTCCTCCTTTTCTTTTTGCGAATACAGACTAACACGGCTGTTACTCTGAAACAGAAATGAGGATTTCACAGCCCAGCTATTGATAAGTGAGTTCTTGCCAGACAGGATGCTATCAAACTAAGTTTCCTTTGACATTTTCTAGGCACTTCCCTTTCTCTGGAGGCGATAGGCATTATCAGGACAGGATTGTATTCCTAACAGCCCAATAGCACCTTATTTCAATGTGACTAGCATTTGCTTCCCAGGTTATGGCTGCCTCTGCTGTTTAGCCAAAGGCCTTAGCCTAAGAACAGGGCCTCAAACTGTCACAGTGAGAAAAGGCCTTATACAGTCAGACAGTGATTTTGATTCTCTTTTATACCTCTATAACTAGCTAAGTGATAAGAATACACCTAAATTCTTAGAGTATAGGCCTTTACAGACAGGCCTGAATATCTATATCCTAACACCTCTGAGCCCAGGAGTCCCATGGACATTGATGGGAGCTTTGCACCCAAAGCGCCCAAAGGATTGGGACCAAATGATTTCATGATGAGAATGGAGGGCACGCCTTGCCTGCTTCCCCTCCAGTAACATTCTCACTCCTCCATCTAGTGTCTGCGGGTTTGTCAACACAGCATCTAGAGACATCGCTCCCAGCTCTGAGAGAGCCAGCATGCTAAACACAGCAGGATAGCCTTAATGGTGCGGGTGCCAAGTTCAAGCCCATCGGATCCCCTAGCTGTGTTTTTGGGAGGCTGCTTGCGCTGAGGCAGCTACACTTCTATTTGTAATGAGAAGATAAGAACATAAGAATGGCCAGACTGAGTCAGACCAAAGGTCCATCCAGCCCAGTATCCTCTCTTCCGACAGAGGCCAATGCCAGGTGCCCCAGAGGGAATGAACAGAACAGGGATTCATCAAGTGACCCATCCCCTGTCGTTCATTCTGAGCTTCTGGCAAACAGAGGCTAGGGACACCATTCCTGCCCATCCTGATTAATAGCCATTGATGGACCTATCCTCCATGAATATATCTAGTTCTTTTTTGAACCGTGTTATGGTCTTGGCCTTCACAACATCCTCTGGCAAGGAGTTCCACAAGTTGACTGTGTGCTGTGTGAAGAAATACTTCTTTTTATTTGTTTTAAACCTGCTGCCTATTAATTTAGTTTGGTGACCATAGTTCTTGTGTTATGAGAAGGAGTAAACAACACTTCCTTATCCATATTTCCCCTTAGCTGTCTCTTTTCCAAGCTGAAAAGTCCCAGTGTTATTCATCTCCCCTCATAAGGAAGCCGTTCCATACCCCTAATAATTTTTGTTTTCCTTTTCTGAACCTTTTCCAGTTCCAATATATCTTTTTTGAGACAAGGCAACCATATCTTCACACAGTATTCAAGATAAAGGTGTACCATGGATTTATATAGATGCAATATGATATTTTCTCTCCTATTATCTAACCCTTTCTTAATTATTCCCAGCATTCTGTTTGCTTTTTTGACTGCTGGTGCACATTGAGTGGATGTTTTCAGAGAGCTATCTACAATGACTCCAAGATCTCTTTCTTGAGTGGTAACAGCTAATTTAAACCCCATAATTTTATATGTATAGTTGGGATTATGTTTTCCAGTGTCCTTTACTTTGCATTTATCAACATTAAATTTCATCTGCCATTTTGTTGCCTAGTCACCCAGTTTTGAGAGATCCTTTTGTAGCTCTTTGCAGTCTTCCTGGGTCTTAGCTATCTTTAGTAATTTTGTATCATCTGTAGATTTTGCCACCTCATTGTTTACCCTTTTTTCCAGATCATTTATGAATATGTTGAATAGAACAGACCTCCGGGGGACATCACTATTTACCCCTCTCCATTCTGAAAACTGACCATTTATACCTACCCTTTGTTTCCTATCTTTTAACCAGTTACCAATCCAGGAGAACACATTCCCTCTTATACCGTGGCAGCTTACTTTGCATAAGAGACTTTGGTGAGGGACCTCGTC